ACCCTAACCATTTAGAAATTAATATGCCAGAATGCTATCACGCCTCAACATTTCAACCCAGAAGCTTGATCTCTGTTTTCATTAAGCAATGAATAAACTGAAACGATCCGAATGTTTTCAGTCTCTCACTAGCACAAAATTTTAAATAGATAGGCAAAAAATACCCTACTATCATAACTGCAAACACGCGGAACAGAAACTATCAAAATTCATAGAATATAAATATCGAGTCCTTCCAAGCCTGCTATGAGAACAATGTCTCTTTATTTGCTTTTCATGAGGTTTGCTCTAAGAAGAGATAAAGACTGCAGTATAGAGTATTTTAATATACATACACACGTTCACATCTGGAATAACAGATTTTAAGGACAGAATACAATATTACCGCTGAATGTATGCAGAAATGCATAAACATACCCTAAAAAACATATTTTTTTGCACCCTACTCAGATATATACATGGACTCATATGTACGATATAGGTATTTACACACCCCCCCACCAGGTTTCAGATCTATCAGAACCATTCATTAAATGAGACTCTGTAAAGTTTTTGCTGCTTTGGGAAAACACGACCCTGAGGAGACATCACATGTGAACTTAACATCCAGCAGAAAATGAAACCATAACACACTGCATCTTGAAAGCCAGCCCTGAATCTAACTTAATCCCTTCTCTGGACAATGCCTCCAGAGAGGCATTAAAACCAAGCTAGGTGTTTTCCTGGATTTCCCAAATTCCCCGGAGACTCCCTGGCAGTCTGGCTGCATCCATCTCCTCCCCGCTTCAGAGATGTTTCCGGCTGATCGCTCCCATCCTTACTCCGGCTGCTCCCACGGCCGGCGGCTCCTGCGGAGCAGCATCCGGAGAGCCGCGTCCTGCCCTGGCTGCAGGACGAGTTACGCGGGGCACCCCTCGGGGTTTAACACTCAAAGCGTGCAGGGGGACGATGTGCGGGCTGGAAGGGTCAAGAGCAGCTTTGAATCCTCCTCCTCCATCCCAGACAAAGGGATTCCAGCAGATCTCATGCCCCCTAGTGTCATCCAGGCGAACGGACCGGCACCGGCACCGGGTACCACACGGCCCAGCCAGTGCCCGGACTTAACGACAGTAAAGCCAGCATCGTGTCCTGCTAGTGTCTGGAGAGCAGTTACCTGCCATTTCCCACAGCTCAGGTGAAAGGCAGCATGAGCTTGCTGGCCCTCCCGACCACCCCCAAAGCAACAATAGCCCCCCAGGTGTCCCCATGCCCGGCACAGTGTCGCCTCTGTTACACTCCGGCAGAGCCTCAGCGAGATCTGCCCCACCAGAAGATAGCCAGAGCGGTGTCCCTGGCGAGGGACCAAGAGGAGGAGGCAGAGAGCATCTGCAGTGGACACTGTCCAGAATACAGCTCCTCCTAAAAATAGATGGTCCCTGGAAGGGCCGTGCCCTTCCAGGGAGTGGGAAGGCTTGGTGCTGGGAGCTTAGGGTTTGGGATGGCAAAACTTCAAAGTGTATGAATGCATGACACTGCTTTTGCACTAAGTCAGCAAATTCCCTGTGAGAGCACCTGTGGCATGAGCTCTGACCATTAGCATGAGAAGCAGTGCACAAAACGCAGCATCGTTGCCTGCCCAGCTACTCTGACCAAGCAATAAGATCCAGTATCTCCCAGAAAATCAGCCATGCTGACTGCAATACTAATGGGTGCAACTGACACTGGACCGTGCACATGGAGCACCTGAACAAGAGGAGGGTGTTGGACAGAGCATGGGAAATGTGCACTGACCCTGTGCATCTGCCTCAGTTTCCCCACCTGTCCAGCGGCCATGATGCAGCTTGCCCTCTCTTATCTTTGTCGTCCCTCCTCGTTCAACTATTAGCTCTTGTGGGCAGATGCACACACTGGGAGCCACAGACAGCACCCAGAGCTCTGTTCCCTTCCAGCGTATGCTAGCAGCACGCAAGCAACCTCGGCAACTCATTGCCAAAATTTGGAGGAATTCTCCCCAGGGCACTGACCTGGGTATGCTGCTTTCTTCTGCAACACCGAGCAGGGACTATAGCTTAGAATAATGGGGAAGTAACTCAGTTCAGTGCTGACAAAGCATCACAAGCCCCAGCGGGGTGGGAGGGGAGGAGGTGTCCTTCCCTCACACTGCCATGCCTGGTATACATCATGTTTAGGGCCAGGCATACGTCACCGACACAAAATGGACAAATTGGAGGGATTTCAGAAAAACGAGCGACAAAAATGATCAGGAGGCAGAAGGGATTGATTTACAAGGGGAGAGATTAAAAGAGCTGCGATCAGTCTAGCTGGGCTGAGCAAGCACTGACAGAAGCAGTCGGATGCTAATCTGCAAATGGGATGAAAATGGTACAGGAAGGAATAATTTAGCATCTTCAGCAGAAATGGGATGAAATTAAGAGAAACTCGAGGCTGAGTAGCTAGGAAAAAAAATCCCAAACAACTGAACCAACCCAAAATAAAACTCTTCTCCCAGTTGTGCATGACCATTTCTATCAACGCACACAAAGTCCCAAAAACTCTTTCTGCCTAGGACAAGAACCCTGGGGAGCAACCGTGCCTTACTGCCTAAGGTGACACACACACACACACACTCACACAGAACCCTTTCCCACCCCAGACTCACACTCAGGAGAGCAGCAGGGCCTCCACGTTAACCAGAGAGGATGGAGGCTTCACCCTTGCCAGAAAGCAGCAGAGAGTGAAGGCTGAAGCTGTCCGGAGCAGTGGGAAGGTCCCCGCAGAAGGACGCCTTTGCATTCCCAGGTCTTCACGAAGGAAAGGTGCTGAGATGGCTTCCTGCGAAGTCGCAGGAGTGAGCTCAGCTGCGAGCACTCAGATATTTACACACAAACAGCACATTACTCAGCAACTCCCATTTGTCAGGCGTAATGGCAGCGGCAGCAATAATAAACGACAGAGCTGAGAGACAGACTCCCCAGGCGCACAAGCAGCCCCAGCCTGAGCTGAAGCAGGATGCATTCCTCCAGCTTGAGGGGGAATTAATTGAGAGTGGCCAGGAGCTGGGGTTTGCACCCACAAAACTCCTGCTGCCGGCTTTGGAAAGTGAGCCGCATCTCCAAAAGCTGAGCTTTGGCCCCACAGTTATTTGTACGTGTATGTGCATCACAAGCTTTCTGGCTCCAAAAGGTACCAGGGATTCTTTTTTCCCCAAGTCCAAGAGGTGCTGAGCACCTCCCATAAGGATGGGGACAGACCTCCTTGGTAGGATCAGGTCCTCTCAGGGTAAATCAGACCAAAGATAACACACAATTGTCAGATCCTGCCTTGGCCTTCTCTGACAATAGGCTCTGATGAAGTTATCTTAAAGGGATGTTCCAAAGAAGTCTTCCAGGCATGAGGCTCTCATTTCCAAAGCACAGCCTGGCTTTGAAAACTCTGCCCTCCCCAGTAAGCCCCAGAGAGCTCTGGTCCTTGTACCTGGTCCCAGTGAGATGATTGGTTGGACACAAGCATCCCTTGCACATTTCCAGCCATCACAGCAAAGCCCTAAGTCCTCACAGAGGGACAGGACAAGGAGCAGGAAAGGCTTCTCCCACATATTTGCACATTTTGCAGGAAGCATCCAGTGTCCCTGCAGCCTCACTGCCTGCACACACCACGGCAGGACCAGCAGCGGCGCATGCAAGTCCTGTCCCTCACCGGGATAAACAACATGCGGGCATGGTCAGAGTTAAATGAGCGGAATCATAGCAGAAGTCAGCAAGTTCCTGACCAAAAAGCAATCTGAGGAAAGGACCTCCTGGACTATCCCGCAAATTAAAACACAAAGAGACGTGAAAGAGAAATCAAACGGCTTTGTAGGCAAACCTCTTTCTGCAACCTGCCCTCTGTACAGACCCTCCACATCTGCCTGTAAGCATAGGGTGGGGAAGAAAGGGGCTTTCTAAGAGAGTGAAGAAGTGCTGATCTTTATACCCAAAAAGTTTAGCTGACTAAGAAACAGCTGCCAGGGGAGCCAGGGACTTCGAAACATGCAGACCAGGTTCTGTCCCCAGTGAAGGCAGCGCAGATTAGCTCCTGCACTGGTTGGAGTCCCAACCCGGTTTTAGGATTGCAGTGGGGAAAGTCACCGGGATCTGGAAATGTCAGGGAGTTTGTGCAGCAAAGGCATCGGTGTGTATTATGCAATTCTGGAAGGCAGCTCTCGTACTCACGCTCGGGATGAACTGCCTAGCCCAGGGAGAGCAGTTCCACAGAAGCGCCATGCAGATGCTTTTCTTATAAAATCACACCACCCCCTCAAAAGAAAATAGTAATAATTCAAAATTAAAGCACTGCCGCAGCAGAGGAAAGGGCAGTTTGCGCCTTTGGTGGGACGAAGGGAAAAAAATCGCTCTCCCGCCCAGGAAATCCACGGGCTCCGTTTTACAAAAGAGCCACCCCGCAACCTCAGCTCCAGCCCTGCTCATGCAATGCAGCACGCAGGAGGGCTCATCCCTTCCCACAATTCAACCTGACGCCTCCCGCAGCGGCTGCGATGCCGTCCCCTCCGGGGAACAGGGGTCCCACCGTGCTTGGGGTGTCCGGAGCGCCCCGACTCCGCGTCCCCCCATCCCTCTCCCGGCGGGAACGCCCGGCGGGCCGGGGCGCGGGGCGGACACACACGCACGGAGGAGCAGGAAAAGTAAGTTGCCCAAATTGTTTCCTCACAGGGTTCGTCCCTGCCCCGACGGCGCGGGGGGGGGGGGGGGGGGGGGGGGGGGGGAACGGGACACGGACGCGGACATGCGTGGGGAAAGGTGCGCGGCTGCGGGGCGGGAGGGACGGAACAGCGGGCGCGGAACGGGGGAAGCAGGAACGTTCCCACTCCCCTTTTTCGCTTCCCAGAAAGGCAGCAGTGCTCTGGCGGCGGGCACCGGGGCTCGCCTCCGCTGACCGCCGCTTCTCCCGTCCAGCGGGTGGTATGGGGGTTAGGGTGGGGGACACCCCGCACCGCCCTCCGTCCCCGTCCGCCCGGTACTCACGGCGCCGTCCTTGCCGCCGCTCCCGGCTCTTTACCCCATGCAACCACCGGCTGCTTCTGCACCGGCTCGGGGGCTATAAGCTCTTTTAAACTCCAGCACATAACCCATGTGACCGCAGAAGCCACTGGTAAGGAGCGCCGGGGAGCCAGCGATGAGCTCAGCCCGCACCCCCCGGCACAGCGCCGCGGACGCGCTCCCGGCCCCGCCGCGCTGCGCGCACCCGCCCCACGCACCCGCACACACCGACACACGCACACACAGACCCACGCGTGGCCCCGCCGGTACCGGCGAGCCCTTGTACCCCACCACGGGAGCACACCCATGCGGACACGCAGCTCTCCACCCCCCCCACACACACACATCCCCGCGGATGCTGGAGCTGGAGGGAGGCACCGCACACACCATTACCCCTCTTCCCCGTGCAAATGCACACGGAGGAGCACACCCGTGGAAGCGCCGTGAACACGGAGCTGTGCACACACAGACCTGTACCACCGTGCACGGCACAGTCCCTGCGTGCATGGGCAGGGGGCACAATGGAAGTCTCACCCCTGCATCTCCCCTGAGATGCAGACCAGGGTGAAGGCAGCACTCTCGCAGCCCCCTGCATGTACATACACACTCAACGTGTGCCACACACACATGAAGCCATGCACACATGCACTGCCTGGCACAACGCACCCTCCCCATCAGAGGATGCAGACCCACATGAAGGCACCGCGCTCTTTCTGTGCACACCTCCATGCACATCCTTGCACACTACTCGTGAGTGTGCATCCCCTTGCACAAGCACCCTCTCAGCGTGCAAAAGGAAAGCATCACATGCAGATGCAGGATGAAATGGAAGTGCTGCACTCCCCCCTCTTGCACACACATACATGCTGCACCGCTGAACATACAAGACTGCTCTCACACCCTCTTGCACAACTGATGCACAAGGGAAGCAGCCTTCCCATGTGCACCCACCTTTCCCGCTCCAATGTAACTTGCTGGTTCCTGCCAAACAAGCCCACCCTGCCCAAGCATTGTGCCTCATGGCTCTGGGGTCCCATGTGGCATGTGAGGTGGTGGTCACCCTATTTCCCACTGCAGGTAAAGGCTGTGAGCTGCCACCACACAAGGGGGTCTGCAGGGCAAAAAGGACACACATCCTTTCGTGCCGCGCACCACAACTCCTGACCAGGCAGAAGCTGCAGGGGTGGCCATGCAGCCGGGCCGGGATTGCCAGCCCCGGGTGCCTGTTCCAGCCATGGCACGACCCAACTGGGAGTGCCAGGGTGAAATGTGCCAAGGGGGGGGACGGGAAAGTGTGTGAGGCTTTGGTGTGCAAAAGGCTGGGACAGGCAAGCCTGGCTGGGCAGGTGCAGGCGTGTGCTGCTGGGGCACGCCAGCAACACGTGTGAGAAGGCAGAGCTGGCAGGCAGAGGGCTTCGCTGAGAGCTGAGTTATGGAAAATGACTCTTTCCAAGGAATTGCTAAAATTAAAGCAGCAGCGAGGCCAAAAGAGCAGGAGCCAAAGGGGAGGGTGAGCAACGACAGCCGAGCGGCCTCAGGGCGAGGAAGGGCAGGGTGGGCAGGAGGCCGAGGAGAAGGCACCCTGGCAGAGCTCCCGCATCCCCACAGCTCCTGTCACCCACACAGGCAATTGCAAACAGCCTCCGGGGGGGCGGTGGGGGGGTGTGTGTGGGGGGTGGGTGGAATTTTGGGAAAGGCTGCTTGGCACCATGGTGGCAATGGCTGGGGGGTGCCATGGGGCTGGGGGGTCTAGGGGAAATCGCCCTTCACAGGCACATTCCCCAGTTGTCTGCCAGCATGCAGATAAATACCTCTGTTTCCCTAGCTTGGAAGAGACAAATGCCCATGGAGAAAGAACCTGCTCGCTGCCAGGGGCTAGGTGCCAGTGAGGGGCAGAGAACAAGGCTGGCAGGGGCTTTTTTTGGGGAGCACTGCAAATCCCTACAACTCCTAATGGGAGTCTTCTGCACTCCCCCCTGTCCCAAGTTCTGTGGCAGGACTGGGGTGCTGGTCACTGGACATCAGCATTCGGGTCAGCAGTAAGGGCTGTTGCAGCTTCCAGATATCCAAACGTTCCCAGCACAAATCCCCGTGACTCAGGAAACAATGCATGCGGGAAAACTGTGCAGAGAGGACTTGGGAGAAATACTTCCATTGGCATGTTCCCACTTTCCCTGGCATCCCAGCACTTCTCCTCTTCTGCAGAAAACAACAGCAGTAATAACAACAACACAACTTTCTTCCCGATCTTCCTGTTAAAGAGAAAAAAAAAAAAGAAGAAAGGTAATCTGCAGGCAAATCTACAAAATCCAGTATGTTTTGTTTCAATTAGATATATGTTGACAAAATTAAAGATACCACCTCTCCCTGCAGCCCTGGCCTTACACAGACAATGTCACAGAGGAGAGGAAGGGGCTGGGTGGAAGCCAGGTTTTGTCTAGTTTTCCATTGATGCTACTAAAAGCCACTATTAATTGGATGGAAATAATGATGTTTTGTCTCAGACGAAGGTCCGTAATAAATTATCTGTTTATTGTTACTGGTTTTATCTATGAAGAATAACCAGCATGTTAGGACTCGGGGGGGGGGATTTGTGATAGATAATAGCAAGTCCTGAAAAAGCAGGAGGGCAGACTAGGAGCAGAGGGGGGATGTATTCAAGGCTGTTCAGCAGGTTGCAGCAGAGCTGGAGAATGACCCTCCTCCCCCAGAGACTCCAGACTGAAATAGTCACAAAATGAAAGAAGAAGAAAGACAATCCCCACCTCTTTTTCTCTCTTCATCCCTCCAGCCCCGCGGTCAGCCAGGATCATGTCCGAAAAAGGGGTAAAAGCTGTGCGGGAAACAGAAACTCTCAGATGCCACTGGGAAATGTGTCAGGAGAGCAAGTGTTTTTGTGGGGATAGGATGGAAAGGTACTGCAGCACCAATAGGTCCAGGAAGAGAGCTGGACCCAGGGACATGATTCTCCACTAGTTTACGAGCTAGCATTAGGGCTGGTTTCCCCATCCACTGTATCCCAGTGCAGGCTTATAACAAGCCTGTACACTGATGTTCAACCAGAAGACTATGCCACTCCACCCCATTACATGTTGACAGCTGCCTCCAGCAGCAGTGGTACCCTGGAGCAGGACAGTGGATGCTTCACAGCCATGTGGTGGGAGTTAGGTAGAGCTGAGCCATAGTCAGACCCTGAACATTTTGAGCTCGACCTGGCCAGCTTGTAAAGCAGCAAAGATGCCTCCAGGCCAAAGCTCAAGAGGAGAGCATTTGCCTGGTTGTACCCAAAGCTGTGTGTATATAAGGTGAGAGTCTGATCCAGTGTCTTTACATACTATTTATTTGATACCTTGTGGCAAACATCTGGCCAAATTACTCACGGATTATTCAACCATCAGGAGAGCTTATTGAATGATTACTGGTGAATCATTTGTTCAAAGTAAAATGCCCAAATTCTTACACTGAACTACTGTCAGGCAACATGCAAATGAGCTTAAGTCCTCCAAAATCCCTGAGTTCACATCTGCCCCTAAGTCTGTGCTCCTTGCTCATGGCTTCCCCAACATATCCGCCCCCTGCCCGACCTCTTGCCACCGGCAGAAGCAAGGTGAATAGAAGACGTGGGGAACCATTCCTTGAATTCCTGCTGGACTTCAGGCAAACAACAACACAGCAGGCTGAGTTAGAAGCCTTGTCTTTTGCCTTTGCACAAAAGAGATTCTCTGAAGGGGGAAAAACCCCACAACAATGGTGAGGAAACGTACAGGGTAGGCAAAGAAAGAAGCTGACCTGGCATGCCACAGGCCAGAAAAAAGTACAAATGATCTTGCAAAGAAGCAGGAAAAGATGGGAGCTACAGAGCCAACAAGCTTTTTACCAGCCCGATTTAATCATCTTCTCAGCAAATGCTCCCCACGAGGAACAAGAGGGGTAAGCAAGATCATGAAAAGATTGCAGGCAAAGGAATTCTGCCGGTACTCCTGGACTGATTAAAATTCCTCAGGACTCATGGCAGGAGAGATTATTTTATGTAAAACTTCACCTTGTCCTTATTACATTTGCCAAACTTCTTCCTGTGTAGATAAAGGGGAATGGTGGGAGGTGCGTGCTAAAGACAAAGATGGAGATAATAAGTACAGGACTTGGCTGTAGCTTTCCAGCCTGTTACCCATTTGCCTGGGAAGGCTGGTGGTGGTGAGAGTCTGCGTGTGTGCACACAATAAGGTGCAAAAGCAAGGAGAAGTCGTGGGGACATAAAGCCTGGGCAGAACACAACGTGGCAAAGGTTTGTGAGAAAACCCTCTCCTTGGGTGCAACCCTGATCATGGGCACCAAGTGGCTTGCAGTGATTAGTGTGATTTGGGATGCCGAGCAAACCAGGTCCCACCAGCGAGCAAAAGTGATGTGAGTAAAGTCTCCATGCGCAGCAAGGTTTCGGCACATGTGGTTATCAAACTGCTCCTGGGAAACAGAGATTGGCATATGGTGAGACCCCTCACTGCTACTGCCGGGTAAGATTTCGATGACAAAGTACCGCCTGACACCTGTTATAAATAACAGCCGTCCCATCACCCACTCAGCACATGGCCCGCTGCTGCCAGCTCCTCGCTCGGAAGAGGCTCAGCGTGGAATGAAAGCCATATTTAAAGTACATTTTCGCATATGTCTTCCCGAGCTAGCAACAACAGGAGAGGGGTCTGGAAAAGGTTTCCCCTAGTTCTAGTTTCCCTTTGGTGCCACAAGCAGAGCCCCACGTAATCTCATGCAAGAATCAAGAGTGTACAGTGATTATATTTTCATTTTCCATCACTGTTTCATGGATGTCCTGAATTACGGGTGCTGCGATGCTCTTGGGACTGGGAAATCATCACCATAATCCTGTTCATCTTCCAGGTGGAGGGTTTTTTTTCACCATAGATCAGGACATCTGAGGGTGAGGTGGTGCTGTCCCACTGTCAAGGCTGAGGACCATGTAGGTGTCCAGAAGGATGTGGATGGCACAAGGCACACATAGAATAGTGCACATCTTTGGGACGGGACCCAGGCATTCTGCCTCCAGCCCCTTCTGTAGCAGGATTGCACCTAAACCACTATAGGGGCTGCAGCCTTTTACACATGGCAGAGGTGCTCTCATTACCATTGTGAAAGCAAGGATGTCCTGATGGTTGTGGCTTTTGTCTAGAATGAGAACCCCTGCCATAA